CCAGTACCTAAAAAGGAAGGAGTTGAGATTGTGAATATGTCGACTTTAACATGTGCCCCAGGAACCAGCTAAGAAGTAGTTAGATGCACCACCTAAAAGACAGACAAGAAATCAAGGAGGGAGATGCTGGTCAGGCAGCTGTTAACATACAGTGAACCCTTGGTGAATGTGTGAAATGGGAAGAGAACAGGGCCACCAACAGAACCCTGGGGTTGCTAATATCAGGTGCACCAGAGGGAGAAGGACCTACCTGGTTTCCCCGTGCAGGGTGTCTGTGCCTTTGGGCAGGTTTCTTGCCTCCTCTCTACCCAGCCTGTTTTCTCCCCATGATTTGCGTCCAGCCTGTGCATCATTTCTGCTGATGCTGTGGCCTCTCTGTCTGCCTCTTTGGGGATATTTTGGTTTCCATTTCTAAACAGCCTTATTCTCTCAGCATTTAAGGTTTAATATATATATATAAAGGAAAAAAAAAAAACCTTTGGAAGAGAATTGAGTGGTCCCAGCTTATCATACAGAGTCACACTGTGGCACAAGTCACCAGATTCAGTTAGATGACTATCCTGAGACCAGGTGCCCACTATGATCCAATGGGCTGTTTCTCTATTTCAGGGACTAGGATGAATCCAGTCTGTTCCTGCTTTGAGGACAGGAGGGTTGACTTTACCTGCATTGTATTTGGGGAACACAGGATTATGTCAAAATGGAAAGATTATAGGTTCACCTCTCACTGATAGCCTCATGTGGTCCTGATGCTGTCTTGGGCAGGGGACCATCTTATTAGGAACTGAATTTTGGATCCAAACCACAGTATTTCAGTTCAGGGGGGCAAAACTCACATGACTATAGTCGTCTTCCTTTAGGCTGACTGGCAGTCTCTGTGGTCTTGTGTTGCTCAACATGAGAGTTGGTCATTGGGCTGTGTGGACCTTCCAGCCACTCATCCATTTGAAGGCCACCCTCATGCATGAGGAGTCCCTGGGTCACAGTCACTGGCTCTGGAAGTCGAGTCTCGCCTTCTCTTAAAGAGAGACTCTGGGCAGGGCTACATCTGCAGGGTTGGCAGAGCTGAGGAGGTGCCAGCATTACTACCTGGGGACCATCCTGGATTGTGAGAGAACTAGAAAGCACTGTCAAGTCTCCAAACTCCTATTGGGTTTCGTTATACACAGATAAGAATCTTTCACAAGATTGCGGTTTATGAGCCACAGTGCGATGGGCTCCAGGAGAGGCGGGAATCCACAAGAGCCAATGGGCTTCTCCAACCCAAATCCAATGAAGCCCAGCTTCAGTGGAAATGTTTCCTTGTGTGGGTTCAGGAGAAGCCATGAGGGTGGGTGGGCTGAGTGGTGACCTGCTGCCGCTCTCCTGAGGCCAACACCTAGGTAGTGGCCCCTGCCCACGTTCCCTGCTGGGGAACAGGCTGAAAGCAGATAGCACAGTATTCCTGCGCCACAGTGGACTCTTGCCATTTACTGCTCACTGGACCCTTGCCAGGGCGTTCTCAGCTGTGGCTGAGAGATGCCCCTCCTTGCGTTACTGGACAAAGCAAAACAGCCAGAACAATGCCCCAGATACCAAGAGGCTCCTGAACAGAAAGGGAGACAGGCACATACTTGACCTAATTATTGGGAGACCCAGAGGGCAACTGGCGTTGAACCCATAATGTTGTTGCAGTTGAGTCCTTCCAGTCTGCCCAGAAAGGACTTCGTGGTCATGTGAAATGCTTGGGGGCAGGTGAAGCTCTGAGCAGTGAGCTGTTCCTGCAGCTCTCACCTGCAGAACTGACCTGGATGAGGACGGAGGGAGCAGAAGACTGGAGATGATCCAGCAAACTGCGAGTCTAACCTCAAAATTACTCATCTTCTTCAAACCTGCCAGACTCTTTAAATACCTCTGTGACTTGGTGCATGCTGCATTCTAACCCTGGAATGACTTCCTTTGCCTTCTCTAACTTGAAAAATCCAACATAATCTTCAGGGTCCTCATCTTTTTAAAGTCTCTGGAACTCCCCACATTGCATAAGCAGCCCTTTGTTATGTTTCTACACACCTTTGTGCTTGTGCTTTTGTTACATAACTTCTCAAATTGTATTCTACTCTTACGTAGGATAATATCCTGAAATAATATTTGGCTCAAAATTAGGCTCAGCCCTACAGAATGGGAGCAAGTTTTTACCACACACACATCTGATAGAGCACTAATCTCTGGATACACAAAGAACTCAAAAATCTTAACACCAAAAACCAAATAATCCAATCAATAAATGGGCCAAGGACCTGAACAGACACTTCTCAGAAGAGGATATAAAATCAATCAGCAAATATATGAAACCATGTTCAACATCTCTAGCAATTAGAGAAATGCAAATCAAAACTACTCTAAGATTTCATCTCTAGTAAGAATGGCAGTTATTAGAATACAAACAACAATAAGTGTTGGTGAGGATGTGGGGAGAAAGACACACTCATAGACTGCTGGTGGGACTGCAAATTGGTGCAGCCAATATGGAAAGCAGTATGGAGATTCCTTTGAAAGCTGGGAATGGAACCACCATTTGACCCAGCTATCCCTCTCCTCAGTCTATACCTAAAGGACTTAAAAACTGCATACTACAGGGACACAGCCACATCAATGTTTATAGCAGCACAATTCACAATAGCGAAACTGTGGAACCAACCTAGATGCCCTTCAGTAGATGAATGGATAAAGAAAATGTGAGATACACACACACACACAATGGAATATTACTTAACATTAAAGAGAAAATAAAACCATGGCACTTGCAGGTAAATGGATGGAGTTGGAAAATATAATGCTAAGTGAAGTAAGCCAATCCCAAAAATCCAAATGCTGAATGTCTTCTCTGACATAGGATGCTGATTCATAATGGGGATGGGGGCAGAGCATGGGAGGATTAGATGAACTCTAGATAGGGCAAAGGGGAGGGAGGGAAAGGGAGAGGGCATGGGGTAGGAAAGACGGTGGAATGAGACAGACATCATTACCCTAAGTACATGTATGAAAACACAAATGGTGTGACTCTACTTTGTGTACAACCAGAGACATGAAGAATTGAGCTCTATTTGTGTAATACGAATTGAATTGCATTTTAGTTGTCATATATAACAAATTAGAATAAATAAAATTAAAAAATTAAAAAATATTAGGCTCAGCTGTATATAACAACAGCTTAAAGAAGATAAAAGTTTATTCTTTCTCCTATTTAAGGAGGTAAAAGCAATCAAGAGCTGGTATGGAAACTTTGTAATGACATCATGAATCCAGTTTCCTCCCTATCTTCTCTGCCAAACTCAGCTCAGAGCTTTTATTTTCAAGTTTGTCTTATGTCTACAATGACTGCTGTAGCTCCAGCCATCACTTCCATGCTCCAGAATGCAAGAAGAGGGAAGAATAAGAATGAAATGTCTCTTTTCTTTTAAGGAGAGTTTCTGGAAATACTGCACAATAATTTTACTTCTATATTAATCAGAACTCAGGTAGCCACATTTAGGGGCAAGCAACTAAAGAAATTATAGTCTTTATTATGACAGCAATGTGTCAAAAATAAAAACTGTGCCATAAAGAGACTCCAGGCATGGTGGTACATGCCTATAATTCCCGCTACTCAGAAGACTGAGGCAGAAGGATCACAAGTTTGAGCCAGCCTCAGCAACTTAGCAAGACTCTGTCTCAGAATGAAAAAAGGGCTGGGGATATAACTCAGTGGTAAAGTTCTCCTGGAATAAATTCCATCAACACACACACACACACACACATACACAATATGAGAAGAAACTAGATTCTGAGAGGCAAATCGGAATCACACTATTCTGATGCATTTTTTTTTCCTTTTTCTTTTTTGGTACTGAGCACATCCCTAGTCCTTTTTTGTATCTTATTTAGAGACAGGGTCTCATGACAAGTCACTTACCACCTCATTAATTTGCTGAGGCTGGCTTTGAACTTGCGATCCTCTTGCCTCAGTCTCCCGAACCTCTGGGATTACAGGCATGTACCACCATACCCGGCCCGATACAGATTTTGTTCTGGCAATTCTTGGTGCTAACCATTCCTCTGTCTGCTGAAGCTGAGCACTCTGCAGCTTTGGGAAGCAGTTAGAACCCAGGAGAAAACACAGATTACATATAATTGTTTAAAACTTGCAGTCATAATTTAAGTGTGCAGAAATTTTCCTTTCTTTATTTACTGAACTTGACTTGTCCACAAGCTCCTATTTCCATTAATGGCTAGAAAAAAAAGAATATTATCAATTAAAAGTCATGCAGTCACTTGTATTTTAAAATTAAATCTCTTTGGGGTAAATATTCAGCTATGTTCTGGGCTCTTCCCGTTTTCTGCTTTCTCACCAGGAGGTGGTTTGGTTACCTGAGGGTCTTCCTGCGGTCCTCTCATTCTCTGGGATCTCCAATAATTAGAAAAAGAATATGTCAGTCTCCCTTTCTACCCAGGAGCCTCTTGGAATCTGGGATGTTCTTTTGACTGATCTGCTTTCTCCAGGGCCTACTGCAGAAGTTGGCTCAAGGAAATGGTTAAAAATGTGATGGATACATTTATGAGTATACTTTAGATGCATCCTATAATTAATTCAAATGGTACCATAATGATCTGAAAATCCTGTACAATTAAAAGTCTATTTCTCTAAAGCCCCTAGCACTATGTTTATAGCTTTCTCGTGGCCCTGGTAACCCTCTCCGTTCTAATGGCTGGTGCGTCTGCCTCACCCCTCATTAGAGTGTCCCCTGCTGAAGAATGTTCCTGAGCTGTGTAACTCTCACAGGTGCCGAAAAAGAGGGGGACATGGAAATGAATGACCACAGGAGCAGGTGCTGGTACTTGATATGTTACCACTAATGAGTGACTCCCACCCGGGAAGAAACAGAGATTTTATTGCAGCCATTTAGAAGGACATCAGTAAAGACAAGTTGACATCTTGCCTTTTGCTGAACTTTAACTTTTTAAAAATTGCTTTTGTTTTTCAGAAATCCTCCGCCTACCTTACTGCATCCAGAAAAATGGTGTGAGGAATTCAACCACTTTATTTCACAGTGAGTATTTCTTCTTCTGAACATTGCTTATTTAGCAAGGCCTTGGACAGTGATTGGGGAAATCCAAGCTGTGGAATTTACTGAGTGCTAGAAATGGCTATGCCTAAGAGCACGTTGGGATGTAGGATTTGTTCCAGTGAGTGACAGAGGATGCCTCTGCAGGATCTGAAAAATAAGGAGCTCCATTTGACTCGTTTAAAATCAGTCCCTTTGATCACATGGGTCACATCTATCTGAGAACCTGCTCTGTCATGAACCAAATATTATCACCATGTCATGTTCATTGAAGGAGGAGACTCAGCATCTAAAAATCTGATGTTCACTCTGGGACCAGGACCAGAGAGAAGACAGAGGTGACAGTCTCTAGCAAGTGTTGCTGCTTGGATGTTGGGCTTGGCTCTAGGATCTTGACCATCTAGTTTCCAAGATGATCGGGGGACAAAGTAGGAACTTGGGCCTGGGACAGCATAGTGAGTCTCTCCAATCCAGGCTCAGGTAATAGAGAGAGAACAGGATGAGAATTGATTCAATGGTGTGATATCAGCTATGCCACCAGGCAGGACTTCCTGAATCTAAGACACAGAACCTACAGTGACACCAGCAGGGTGACCCAATGCTGGGATCCTGGGCCTGGACTTAGAAGAGGACCACACTGGTTCCAAGTCTGCAGAAGATCCTAGGTCTGCTGAAGAGGTCCCAAGGTCCCAAGGTGGGGCCTGCTGAATCCTGGGCTAGGAATCTGAACAATCTACTGCAAGCCATGCACAGGTGCCCCCACTGGGAAGAGGTGCCCCAGAGCCTAGTGTATCAAGCAAGCTCTTCAGAGGTCATGGAGGAGGACAGAAGTGACCAAATAACTGATAAACATGAAGTAGGGAAGGTCAACACACATTTTTCTCATTGATGCCGATGTGCAGACTTAGCTTCCATCAAGAATCTGGGCAACAAAACAAACTGGGTGTCTTAATCATCTTCCTTAATCACAGTGTAGGTCTGTAATCCCTTATCCACAATCCCCAAATCCAAAGAGCTCCGAGAAACCAAATCGCTTTCACAGTTGAGTCATTTAGCAGTAAAACCTGACCTTGTATGAACTGATTTGGTGGCAACACATGACCTGAACTGATGTGAGGCTATTTATAGTCATTATTTGTCTTACTTAGTGTGAATATTCATGTGTTTTGCTGCAGATATATTAGTATTTGATTACAGTGTGCTGCCCCAGATTCTGCTGGGGGTGTTATGTAATATACAGTAAAATGTACCAGTTTACTTATCTAAAATTTGATAAAATTTATTTGGCCCCAAAGGGTTTGGATAAGAGCTGTGGACCTGTATTTCATTTTCATTCCAAATGCAATACAGATCAGGGTCCCTGAAATTGTTGCTTGTCTAATCCCTCCTGGATTTATGCCACATTCCTCAGGAGAGGCGAGTGGAAAAGAACTCTACCAAGAGAGGCTCTGGGGGAATGTGACTGTGAAGATCAAGGCCAGGGGTGGAGGACGTGCTCTTGTCCTCTAACCCCACTCTGACATTTTTGCTCTGACTGCAGAATGTACAGCCACAGTCAGGGTGGGAATGCCAGGCCAGGGTGGGAGGGACATCAGATACCTGCAGTGGGGATGATGCTCTCCAGGAGCAGAGGAAGGGCACCTTCCTGAGGTTTGGGAGCCACAAGAGGAAGAGGGAACAGAGAGCTGAGGATATGCCCTGGGCTTGGGGGCCACATTTTAGACCACCCCAGAGAAAGAAATCTGGGAGCTAAGGTTCCAGTGATTTTGTTGGCAAGGACCGATCCAAACATTTTTCCTTTTCATTCCATTGCTGTACACAGATACCCTTGATTGACCTTCCTAAGGTGTTGGCCTAGAAAAATCCATTACCCATTCACTGATGCACCTTCTCATTCCAAGTTTTCCTGCTGCTTCTAAAATGTGATTTGACTCATAGAAATTTGGCTTCCGTATACGTTTTCAAGAGTAAGTTTGTGTTCTTAAAACAACCGTGATATTGCTTGGATGGATTTGACAATAAAAGTACATCATTGACGACAGGGTTGGGGGCTTTTAGGGCTATACACAACATAGAAATTCTTCCCCACACTGACATTTCCTTGCGGCAAATCAATCTCCCTCTCCCTTTCCCTCTCTCCCTCCCCACTGCCCCCCCCACTCTTTCTCTCCTGTAGTATGGGGACTGAATTCAGGGGCACTCTAACACTGAGGTACATCCTTTTTATTTATTATTTTGAGTTAGTCACTCAGGCTAGCCTTGAACCTGTGATCCTCCTGCCTTAGCCTCCTGAGTCACTGGGATAACAGGTGTGTACCACCATGCCTGGCTCAATCTTCTCTTTCTTGAATAAGTTGTTTTTATTTTTTTATTAGTGAATATATTATATATTTATAGATGTTCATAGATTCTTTCTTGACCTCAGCTGCACAATCCTCTTTTTCCTATTAACATTTTAGATTTTTCAACCATGAATTCTCCTTCTAACAATATTTTTAGGAATTTTCAAGACTGGGGACTGATCATGACATTTCATATCTTTAAGTCAAAAACCTGCCCACTATTTCCAAACAGTTATCCTTTGGTTTTGTAAATGAGGTGGCCTGCCCTAAGCTGTAGTCACTCAACCTACCAAAAGTGATTTCGCTGTATTTATTCAATTCCCTAATTAAATATAAACAATGGCACTTCCTGGGTTTGAAATGTCTATTTAAAGAGAGCTTTGGTTTGCTTTTCTACTTACCTTGCTTGTACTGGAAAAGAAGGGTGGAGGATTTAGGTCTTCAGATTGTAAGCTTTCAATTATTGGAGGGACTGGGGCGGAGAAGATGATTGATTAACTGGTAATTTTAGGAAAATTGTTTCTAGCCCAAATTATTCAGATAATTGCTTCAGTTCCCTTTGTAGACCAAGTCACAGAGCATTGGATTCAGGTTGACAAAACTGATTCTCTCTAAACAACTAATAGGACTAGAAATTTCTTAACAGTTTTAAAAAACTTGATACCTGTCCCCATGTAAACTGCAGACCCATTATCCATTTAGTCATTTAAGGCTTTCTCAATTGATGCTGGTCACTCCTCTCATTGACATCTCATTGGCTGCAGGGGTCTGAATGGGTCAGGCTGGCTGCAGCCTAGTGATCACAGCAGTGAGGAAGGGGACAGGCCATGTGAGCGCAGGCACACAGGCATCCAGGAGGGCCAGCAAGGCAAGGCGGCAGCAACCCTGGATGTGGCCAAGTGTTGTTTAGATTTGCTTCTCGCCTCCTTATTTGGAGACGGGAGATATATTTTTAAAGTCTAAAATCCTATTAGCAAACCTGTCTTGGGGTTTAAAAGGAAAAAAAAAAAGTTACCCTGTTTGGTTCTGAACCTTTGGTTGTTAGTGATAATTGACTCATTTATATGTGTTAGTTATGCATTTGTCAAAGCATGACTCCTGACAGCTTAGTTATGATAAATTAAACACGATGCTCACATAAATTCTGCACTGCTTTTATCCCTATGCTAGGACCCTGCCTGATGTTTTTGTCACCTCTATAAATGTGCAGTTGGCTTTGTAGCAATTTCATTATCAGCCCTTTCCCCTATGGCTAAAGCTATTTGCATAACAAGTTTATCTGGTTCAAGTACCAGCCAGACTTCTGCTTCGTCTGGGGGCTCCATTCAGAAGTGGCCTTTTGATAAGATAACAATAATTTTCATTTGTAAACTCCAACTTGGTCCCAATTGCCCACCTTCCCCCAACCCCTTTGTTAACTTCAAACTAATTTTAGGCCTTTGGACTAAACTATAATCATTGGTCCAAAGGCAATGTGAGCTATACTCTGTTTGCCTCTGAAACTTTTGGGATTTTATTGAGAATTAGCTTCAGGACTTCATCATCAATGGTTTTTGAGCTGATTATGGAGACAGTAAAGATGGATTTCCCTTGGTCAAGGACAAATCCACCAAGAGCATCACTCCAGCTCAGCTTTGGATTTAACGATGACACTATATGATCATTCACACATAAACTGCTTTCTTGGGGTGACTCATTTGGGCAGTGTAGAGGAGACAAAGTGGTATCTTTTCCTCACCCGTTGCAAGGTTCATGACTGATACCCCTATAACAAAAGACAGATTAATAAGAGAAAAGTATAACAAATTTATTTATTGTAAGTTGGGTGACAAGGGAGCCTTCAGAAATGAAGGCCCAAGGACTTGGAGGGGGGAACCTGTGTTTTCAGGTCAGGTTTGATGAAGATTGGACAATAGCGCAGAGGTATGACTAACAAAAAGCCTAATGAACTGGGGGGAACTTGGCACGACCTGCCTGTTCAGATGTCTCTGGATCTCACAGTTAAGATTAAAGGCACGACTTATGTCACATGAGGCTCTTCCTCAGACAGCAGGTGGGAGGTCAGAGGGGTCTGCCTGCCTCTGAAGTTTTCTTGATTTCCTTCATCTTGAAGTACTCAGAGGAGCCCTGTGTTGGGGTAGTGTTCCCTGTGCTCCGTCTGTGGCTGGTGCATAGGTCTCTCTGTCCCAGAGGGAGTTATGTGAGTGCTGCAGTTATTCACAAGATGTTGGGGCAGGCGTTCCTGTCCCTCCAGGTGACAACCACATGGGTCTAGGCCTTGTGCTGAACGTTAACCCAATGAGACCACTCTGAGCTGCAGACTTATGACATTTGCATGTGTGATTCCTTAAAAACCCAAACCCAGCTCAGGCTGGAACACTCGGGTTCTCTGTAGGACTGGTATGCCATTTGGGGCGACTATTTCTTTGACAAGGATTGTATTTCCCTGAAGGCAACACTCCTCAGCTCCGCTCCCCACTCTGTGTTTCAAGGCTGCTTGGTGCCACGTGGGTCTATAAGGTCAGCAAACAACGGATTTGCACCGGTAAAAAAATCCTAACCCAGTCATTTATGAAGTCCCACAAATATTCTTGGCTTTTACGTCCTTCTGGGTTCTCAGGAGGCCATGCAAAGGGTTAATCC